ATTCTCGCTTGAGCTCGCAAAAGCTCGAGGAACAAATCCAAACGTATAAGTGTTACATGCACTATGGAGTTTTCACTTGGAGAGGGGCTTAGAGCTTTCTTTTCGGTGTTGTCTCGTATAGCAAGCAAGGAATGACTTTGCGTGTCGGCACATTGTGCCCATTTCATATCGAAACATTAATATATCACTTGTCAAGCTCAGTAGGACGAAGCCGGCATTCAAGATTTTCAGCGTGAAGTCGTTTTGGCGCTGCCAGTGTCACGGTTTGGGTTGAAAAACTTTGCCGTGGCTACGATACGGTAGCCGCCTGGTGGTGAAAGTGAGAAAAGAGGAAAAGTACTACAAACAAGGAGCTTGAGGTGGTACTGTGAACATTGAGTTCTAAGTTTTCTAAAACTCTCACGTACCGTCTCTTTCGTGATCTCGTGCTCTTCTGGATAGACATCTATGTCTTGTTTACAGTTGTTTCGTGATTCTAACTAGCTTGAAAACCTGCGAGCTTGCAATGTTAAAAGAATGTCAACTTATAGAGCACGGCAAAAGGAAACTTCTACTTCTCTGTAAGGCCTCTGGGATGCCTTGTACAAGCCGGGGGATGCCAAGTCTATCCAAGAACATCGACAAAAGCAATGTTAGTGAAAGGTTTCTTTGTTTATCCCAAAAATAATCTAAAGCCTTGTAGCTTTTGCTGTTCTTCTTGTACAACACTTCCATAGATAAGCTCTAGCAAAAAACTAGATCCAAGCCAGCACTAGACGTAGCCTTCATCAACTGGAAGTTACTCGTCTGCGGGTTAATCCAAATAAAAAACCACACGATTACGACTTGTCTTTAGCCAGAAACGCTTCCACCAAGCCCAGGCTCGAGCAAGGACATGGTGTGGGTTGAGGAACCATTTGAGGATGATTAGCATGCCATTAAAGAAACTAATAAAATAATGGGCTCAGTGCACTATGAGATCTATCATGTAAATAAGTATGATAGAAAAGCCAGAGCTCATGGAGGAAAAATTGTTAAAAATTACAGCAGAAACTACAAAGAAATACGTAAGTTAGTCAGCTGTGTATTACAGTAACAATTAGCAGTGCTGGCTCTCTCCCAGGATTTTTTTAATAGCTAGATTATTTTCCCACACATTGCCTGACACTTATAAGCCACAACAACACTGCCTTAGTTCTCATATTTTCATTCAAAGTCTCAATTGAGTTCCAGCACTATATGCTTTGGAGCACACTCACTCACACACGCACACTCTCACACTCATATCACACACACCCAAAGTACAAAGTTCTTGAGTGGAGTGATTTAAATCCATCCCAGGGAGCTAGGAAGAAATTCTTAACTGGTTTGATGGAGATCATCCATGGACGCTCCTTCACAGCTGCCCAATTTTGCCCAAGACCAACATTGATTGATCCATTGGAGTGATTCACCCAGAATTTCTTGCTATCTAGAGAAATTTCTCTTGTTTCTTCTTCTCCTCTCTCTATGATCATGAGCTCCAAAGCAATGATCCATCACCAGCATCACCAGCAGCAGCAACACCACCATCTCAATCTCAATGTCAACAATGTGCTGCCAGATTGGATCAAGCCACACTACTTGACAGCAATTCACCACACTGCCCACCAGAATCTCCCCATCGCCATTCCAATTCCCATGCCACTCCCAAATCCCCCAAGCATCAAGAAGGAGTCGCCATCCAGCGGCCAGGATCGCGAGCATCGGACGATCCCCACCGCACCAATAAAGCCTCTCTACGATCAGCACGGGCAAAGCGCGCAGTCTTGCTCCTCCTCCTCGATCCCTTTCGTCAGCCTGCGGCGGCCGCCAGAGATCGCCAGCAGCAGCTCCAGCAGCGCCTCCGGATCAGCATCCGCCACTAGCAGCAGCGGCGGCGGCGATGGCGTCCAGCAGATCCAGACCGGCATTCTCGACGACGATCGCATCCCACTGGCACTGGCATTGCAGCTGGATCAAGATCGAGCGCGGCGGCGGCGCGAATCGTCCTCGTCGCCAAATATTTCGGATCGGGAGGAGGCCGCCATGATCGATTCCCCCGGCGCGGGGCTCCGGATTGGGCTCCCGACGGAGGCGATCGCCTTGAGCAGGAGCAGCAGCGCCAGCGCCAGCGCCACAGCGGCGATCGATCAGGGCAGTAGCAGCTCGGCGGCGATGGCGGTGGCGGTGGCAGTGGCGGATCCCTGCATGTTCCAGGATCAGGGAGCGGGGATTAGGGGCAAGGGCCAGTTCTGGATTCCAACGCCCGCGCAGATCCTTGTCGGCCCGACGCAATTCTCGTGCCCGGTGTGTGGCAAGACTTTCAATCGCTACAACAACATGCAGGTAATCAAGCGTCGAGACGTTCCTGGTCGATTTCTTGCCGTGTTCTTGCGATGGATATCTTGTGTTCTTCGTTTCCAGTTTACTTGTGCGTCACACTGTCTCGTCGATGGATCGTGTTCTCTTCTTGTTGAGAGAAATGGCTGGCTGGAGTGCTCAATCTTTGGTTGATAAGAGCTCTCCTTGGATGCCGTGTGTGAGAGTTCTTGAGGTATTTGACTCCCTTGGAAGCCTTTTCTCTTCTTTTGTCTGAGAGAATCTCTTCAGATGGTACTCTTTCGGTCAAGTTGGTTTTGTTCTTGCGAAAGAGATGACTCTGGAGATGACTGACTCGTTTCTCTTTTGGTTTTGTTTCCATGATCCAGATGCATATGTGGGGGCATGGATCGCAGTACCGTCGCGGCCCCGAATCCCTCCGCGGCACGCAGCCCAGCGCGATGCTCCGGCTGCCGTGCTACTGCTGCGCGCCGGGGTGCCGCAACAACATCGAGCACCCGCGCGCCAAGCCGCTCAAGGACTTCCGGACGCTCCAGACGCACTACAAGCGCAAGCACGGCGCCAAGCCCTTCATGTGCCGCAAATGCGGCAAGGCGTTCGCGGTGCGCGGCGACTGGCGCACGCACGAGAAGAACTGCGGCAAGTTGTGGTACTGTAGCTGCGGCTCGGATTTCAAGCACAAGCGGTCGCTCAAGGACCATATCCGCGCGTTTGGGAGCGGCCACTCTCCCGTGGGGCTGGATGAACAGGAGGAAGATCCGGACGAGGACGAGGACGAGGAAGCTGGATCGAATTCCACCAACGAAGACGACGGCGAGATGGACACGACTATGACGGCCATCTCCAGCTAGAAGCAGTCTTTGTTTTTTTCTTGTTTCTTTTTTTCTTTTTTTTTTGCTCCAAGAAACAGAGCACTACCTATGAAATGTGGTCAGAGTTTGTTCAGAATTCAGAATGAACCCTAAAAATTGATCAGAACTCAGGCTGAACCTTAAAAGTTGTCAGAATGAACCTTACAAATGTCAGAATGAGCAGCTTTCTTGGTTCAAATGTTTGAAAATCTGTCCTTTGTTGGGCACATGGTGAAGAGATATTGGGGATCAGGGAGTGGTGCGGATCTTGGATGGATCGCGGCGTTTCAGCTCCAGACACTATCTATTACATGCAGGAAAACATAAAATTTGTAGCATAACCATCTGATCTCTCTCTCTCTGGTGGAGATTTTTCCACGGCATTCAAAAGGCCCAGGTCTTTTGTCTGCTGCTGCTGCTGCAGCACATCTTCAAAACCCACACGCAAGATTGTTTAAGTTGGAGCGATCACGTCCCGAGACACGGCACAAAGGGGATGGGCGCAATGGCTCTTTTTTTGTTTTCGGGCAGAGTTTCACGCCCCGCCACGAGCGGTGTGCGTATAATTATGCAAAGTTCACCCGTGAACATACCACCCGCACTACAAGAACTGTGTTAACAGCGCGATCGCGGGTCGCCCACGAGGATGATTTCCTGGCAGCTTGTTCCACGCAATTGACGGCGATTAACAAAACCCTAGAGAGATGTGGGATCCCGCGCGTGGAGATTTTATGTTTTTCTTCTTCTGAAACGGCTTCGAGGCTCTTTCTCTCCCACTGTCTAGAGTTCGGCAGAAAAGGCATCGTTTACTGAGGATGAAAAAATGTCTTACATGAGCAACTTATACTCCCATTGACCGCCTCCTTTCATCCTCATTCAACTCAACGCATTTGTTCACATGGCTTCTGAAGTTAATATATAAAAACAGAGGAAAATCACGACACATGGACACGGCATGAAATCAAGGAAAGCACTGGTCACCGCCCGTAATCCTGCGGCATGCACGCTCTCGTGTTCCCCATTCTGTGTCTGAAAGGCGAGCGCACGCGTGCGTACGTGTGCCCACCCCACAAATTAGGGCTCCTGCTCGCCCGGGGTGGTAGGTCAAATGTGAAAAGTATGTTGGTTGCTTGTTCCAGCCCGTGACGAGCCAAGAAAATAATATTATGGCCAGCCATCATTTTCCTAGAGTTGGCAAAAACTTACAAACAAAGGTAGTGGAGGGTGGTGGATCATGGCCGGGGAAAAAGCCCTAATTAGCGAGCGCGTCGTCATCATTCATGCACCTGGATTTTGGTTATTCATATTTGTCTAGTTTATATTGGACACGGATAGATATTGCCGAATGTTTATGACAGGATTGTTTAGTCCCGATTAGCTTCTATTGCGATAATAGATACGTGTCCACAAGATTCCCATGTGGTGGATTAGTTGGTGTGGTCAAAAACAACGAGACAATGTTCCCTTGAGCTTGATAGGAAAGATGCCCAGATCAAATGTAGTCTCTAGTGGCAACAATCTTAACCCTTGGGAATAGTTTAGGGTCGCATAACACTGGACACTGTCCGTGCACGTAATCGCGCGCTTTTATTTAAATGGCTAAAGATCCCTCCCGCGAATATGCGTTAGAATGTTCTACGTGGATACCCCCCATGGCATGGGTGTGGATGGACCCATGGCGTGAGTCATGGTAGGCGCAAAACGACACCATCGCATGCGCGCGTGAGCTTCGGTGTGGACCCATGCGCATCTATGGCGCATGAAAGGTGGCCTACCATCGCCATACCACGACATGATCAAAACAACACAAGAAAAATATTTAGTCTTTGATATCTTTTGTATGGTTTCTTTTTCCGGCTCTTTCCCTTCAATGCCTCGAGCGAGTGAGTGCCTCTTGGAGCACAGCAACGCTGATAGCTAGCTTGAAAGAGAGAAAACAAAGAAAAACAAACACAAAGGCCACTGTCAGCCGAGAGATTCCTGGAAAGGTTCCAGCGTGGACTGGCTGGTCAACAGATTCGACAAGAGAACATACGAGTTTGGATCGCTTGCGTCGATCAAACTCGCGGCCTTGACACCTCGCTTTGCGTCGCCGTGAACTCTGCAAGCACTCAAGAATGCCCGCCACGACACGGCATCCATAGCCAGGCTGAATTCCTCCGCCTCGCCGAGCCTCCCAACTTTGGCCAGCGCGTCCACGACACACCCAAAGTGCTCCGCCAGCGGCTGGATTCCATGGTCCTCCACCATGGAGCTAAAGCACGCCATGGCGTCCTTGACGAGCCCCGAGTGGCTGCACGAAAGTATCGCGCACAGGAAGCTGACGTCGTCGGCTTTCGTCCCGTCCTGTTGCATCTTCCAAAACAGCTTCAGACTGTCCCTGGGATTCCCGTGCTGCGCGTTGGCCGCCACCATGACTGTCCACGAAACCACGTCCCGGCGTTTGATCCTCTCGAACTCGCGGTTGGCGGCGTCCAAGTTGCCACACTCGGCGTACATGTTGACGATCGCGTTCCGGACGGTGTCGTCGCTGTCCAGGCCTTGAGAAGCCACTCGGGAGTGGAAGAGCTTTCCCTGAGTCGGGGCCACGGCACCGGCGCAGGCATCGAGCGCGAGGACGTATGAAACTTGATCCGGTTTCGTGCCTTCCATGTCCATCGCCTGGAAGAGCTTGAGAGCTTCTTTCGGCGAGTCGAGCTGGATGTAGGCCGTGAGCATTGCGTTCCACGAGACCACGTCCTTCTTCTTCAGGCCGTCGAAGACGCACTTGGAGTTTTCGAGGCTGCCACACTTTGCGTAGAGGTTGATGAGGAAGTTTGCGACGATGTTGCCGTCGAGCTGGAAGCCACTGGCCAAAACTCGCCTGTGCATGGCTTTGGCAGATTCCTCACCCGTGTAGACGCAGGCGTTGAGAAGAGCCGTGTAGCTTATCTTGTCTGGCTTCAGGCCTTCCAGGTCCATCTTCCAGAGGAGCTTGAGAGCCTCCTTGCCGCAGCCGTGCTGGCTGTACTCCACGGCCAAGGCGTTCCAGGAAACGAGATCCCTGCTCGGCATCTCGTCAAACACCTTCCTGGCCTCGTCCAAGCTCGCACACTTCCCGTACATGCTCACCAACGTGTTGTTTACGTTGACATCGCCGCCAAAACCAGTGGCAATTGCTCGAGAGTGAGCACTTCTTCCACGTGTTAGATCCCCCGAGCTCGCACAGGCGTCGAGAATGCTCACGAACGTCACCTTGCTCGGAGGAATGCCTTCCAAGTCCATCTTCTTGAGAAGCTCCAGCGCTTCTCTTCCATGCCTGTGCTGTGCGTATGCTGTTATCATCGCGTTCCAGGAAACCACGCTCTTCACCTCCATCCCCTCAAGAACACCTCTTGCCTCTGCCAAGCTCCCACACTTCCCGTACATGTTAACCAGCGTCGTCTCCACAAACACGTCCATCATGAAACCACTCGCGAGGAAAGTAGCGTGAAACTTTCGTCCCTGTTCCAAGTCTTCAAGCGTTGCACAGGCAGCTAACAAGCCAAGCAAGCTCGCCCTGTTCGGTCGAAAGCCTTCCATGCTCATCAACCGAGAAAGCTCCATAGCCTCTCTGGCATGCCCGAGCTGTGTGTAGGACGTGAGCATGGCGGCCCAGGACACCGAGTTCTTCAAAAGGATGCCGTCAAACACCTCCCTGGCCTCGGAAACACTGGAGCAGCGTCCATACATGCTGAGGAGTGCGTTTCCAACGCCAACATCTGTAGTGAAACCATCTGCTGTAGCTTGCGAGTGGACTTTCCTACCGTGCTCCAAGTCCGTGCAAGCATCCAAGATGCCGACGAAAGTGAAAGCGTCAGGCCTGGTTCCATCCTGCTGCATCTCCTGGAAGACTCTAAACGCCAGCGTCGAGTCTCTGGCCACCTGCGAATACGAAACAATCAGTGCGTTCCACGAGACAACATCTCTTTGTTCCATACCGTCAAAGACAAGCCTCGCGTCGCTGGAGCTCCCGCACTTGCCATACATGGTGATGAGGCAATTGGCGACGATGAGATGGTCTTCAAACTCCGTCGCGGCAATGCTGGCATGCACAGCGCGACCAAGCTCGAGAGCTCCCAGAAGCGTGCACGCCTTGAGAGCCAGGCCCACCGTGAAAGTATCCGGTTTCACACCCTCAGCGTGCATTCTCCAGTAGATCACCAGCGCTTTGAAAGGATTGCCATTCCGGATGTGAGCCGTGATCATCACTGTGGCGAGGCACTTGTCCGGAACAACACCTTCCTCCACCATCTTCTCGAAAAATCCCACAGCCCCACTGTAATCCCCGTTGAGAACACAAGCCGAGACCATCTCGCTCCACGAGAAGAGATTCCTGTGAGCCATCGCTATAGTGTCGAAAACTCTACGCGCCTCCTCCAAGCTGCCGCATTTCCCATACATCCCAATCACCATATTCGCTAGCCGGCGATCAGCGCGACAATCGCTCTTGCTGACGTGATCGTGGATTTTCCTGCCCTCCGCCAATGCCTGCGCCTCGCCACACCACCGGAGCAATCTGCTATAGCTGCCGATCTTGTCCAGAGATTCTTCCAGAGATTCCAGAGCTCGATCTACATCCATACCTCTCCCGTCGGCGATGCCGCCGCAAGAATCAGCTGCATCGAGCGATAGAAGCCTAGAGAATCGAGAATGCGAGAATTGGATCCGCCGGAGCATCGCCCGCCCGGGCATGGGCGAAGAACCCTAAATTACAGAGATTCCACTAACGGATTCATAGCGACACGTGCCCACGGGCACCGGCTGGAGCCGGTAAGATCGCGAGACACGTGGCGGGAGCCTGGTCGCCGCAGATGGCGGTGCCGCCGTGCACGGGCTACAGCCAGTCAGCAGATCCCGCAACCGGCCCAGGGAGTCATCTTCGTCTACCTCATGTTTGGGTGCCTAGGGTTAGGGTATTGGCGTAGGAGCTGGTGGCCTCGACATCGCCGAGAAGCGCAAGGGCGATTATTCTCCATTCGTGAAGCTTGCGAGGCAAAAGGTGAATTCTTTGCGAGATTTTCACTCTCTCGCTCGCGATTCTCTGAAATTTCCGGTAGCTGAGAGCAAGATTGGCCGTGTAGGGTTTGCTGGGATAGGAGGCGACCGCCAGACCGATGCGCGGTGAAGAAATCCCTGAAAGCGAGGAGGATACGCGATCATCGTCTCCTGGAGCTGCTGCTAGTGGCGGGGCGGCGTCATTGCCGTGGTGGGGCGCTCAATCGTCCGCTACTGTCACTCAAAAGGCTGCTTTTGATGGTTGTGCGAGCGGCGGGAGAGTGAACTTCGCCCCAATGCAGCAGCCTCAAGCTCCACACGATGGTCACACTCTTTCTTCTCCAGCCCAGAAGTTACCAGCGCCTTCCTCCGGCACAGGTTTGCTGGAAACTTTCTTTCTTTCTTTCAAAGCAAAACCTTTCATACATTTCTTTCTTTCTCTTCAGCAGCTGTGGATGAGAATGGTGCTACTGCTGTGGCTACTGTCGGTGAAGTAGCGAATGGAATTCCTCCACCGCCGGGAGAGTTTATCATCCGGCCTCCCCAGCTCGAGCTCGGTCACCCAATGGTCTGAAAAACGAAAAGAGCGACAGAAGTTTGATGACCTTTCGTGTTGTGGACTCGTTCCAGGTTCGCGCAGCCTATCCGTATGATCCGTATTACGGTGGACTTGTTGCGGCTTATGGAGCGCAGGGAGTGCCAATGGTAGTGCTCTTTTCAGTAGGGAATTGTCGGTCTCACTCACGCGTTTTGTGTTTCATGTAGATGCATCCTCATGTTCTAGGAATGCAGCACAGTCGAATGCCTTTGCCGTCGGAGATGATGGAAGAAGAGCCCGTGTATGTAAACGCGAAGCAGTATCACGGCATTCTTCGCAGGAGGCAGATACGAGCAAAGGCGGAGCTCGAGAACAAACTCGTGAAGACTAGGAAAGTAAGTTTCTTTTCTTTCCTTTCCTCTCGTGGAACTAGTGTTTCTTCTCTTTTCTCCTGTAGAACTTGACTGAACCAATGTTTTTCCACAGCCATATCTACATGAATCGCGACACCAGCACGCGTTGAGGAGAGCCAGGGGATGCGGCGGCCGGTTCCTCAACACCAAAGCCAAGGAAGATGGGAAAGGATGCAACGATGTAAATGAGAGAGCTTCGTCAGTGTGCTCGGATAGCTCTGACGCCAAGTCCAACAGCGCTGGAGCCGGATCGGCGGAAAGCGGTGGAGCTGCCGGGTATCATCACCCTCGAATGATCTCAGCAGCGAATCAAGCAAATGGTTACCACAGTCTTCATCAAGCTCAGTCGTTCCATCCGTCAGCGTTCCATCCTTTAGCTAGTTGTGATGGTGGTGACAACGGGCAGAGTGGCACCGGCATGGTTTCCAGCATGGCTGTGGCGACGCAGTAAGATCGCGCCAGCGAGCGAAGATCGTAGGAGAGAAGTTTATGGGGAAGAGCCAATGTTGGGTGAAGTGGTGGATGATGATGATGATGATCATGATGATGGAAGAAAAGAGAAGGCTTGCAGTTTTGTTACCAGCAAGCAGTGTAGTAGGAGCAAAAACTCAGTTTGTGCAGTGTTCTCTTTTGACTTGTCATACTTGATAGTACGGACTGTGATATTCATGAAATATTATAGTACAGTTAAAGATTATGCCTGAAATATTCTAGTACGGATGAAGTTACACTAAAGCCCTAGCTAAACCCTAAATTTGGAGGGAAATAGGGGGGAGAGATGAATGTAGGCGGCAAGCGGCTATGGTGGATCTCTCGGCGCTGCTCCAGGATCTGGGAGACTGCATCGCCAGCAAGCTCGACTCGTCATCCGAGACGCAGCCGGAGAACGATGATCCGGTAGAGTCGCGCTTCCGGTCGGTGTTGCCTGTTCTTCTCGACGCGTATTTTCTTCCCGAGAAAGGTATGCGGTCGCGATAGGGGAAGAGAGGCTTATTTCGTGCGCTTGGCAGTGAAAGGACGGGAGATTTTGGCGATTTTGAAGCTGGTGCGGCACACTGTGGATCATTTTCCCGGTGTTCTCTTCCATGGCAAAGCTCATGCTGTTCTTCCTGTTGTTGCGAGGTTGATTCCACTTCTTGCCGAGCCCGCTGCGAGGTATAAATTTTTTATTTCTTCGTTTTTTTGTGTATGGAGTAACTTGACACCAAAATGTAATACTTGCAGTGGATGCTGCGAGTGTTTGTTTGAGACACTGCGTTCTCTCGTTTCAATTCTTCGCAAGGGAGAATGGGAGGTCTTCCAGTACTTTTTTATCGACGCCTTATTGCTCGTGGAAGGTATATCAAGTTGCGATTGCTACTATCTATTGAAAATTTAAGCTTGTGTTGCAGATTTGGCATCCGTTGGTTCCTTTTTTTCCCCTCCAACGAGAGTTACATCTCCTGCAACTATATCGGTGAATTGCTTCCAGGAATCTTTTTCCTGTCTACGAGGAAAAAGAGACGGAGACAGGTTTCTTGCACTTTCGTGCTGGGAATCCTCGAATGCCCCTGGGCTTTCGATTGACGTTACTGGAAAGGCTCGATGGGAGCCTCTCGCGGTATACGTTATTAAGCTTCTCACACATTTTTTTACCGAGGACTCGTTTCACGTTCGAGGTCTAGTGACACCGTGCTTCATGTTTGCCATTGGCACAATTATGTGTTATGGCTCTAGCAATCTACACAAGGTACAAACTTCAAGTTAACTTAGCGAGCGTAATAGTCCTCTTGCGCAGGTTTGCTTTGAAATGTTTGCTGTTGGAACATCTGAACTCGATGCTGATGTTGTTCCCAGTGAAAAGGCGATTTTGTCAATCTTGGCCGTGCTGTCTCTACCCAGAAATGGAGAACTTCCAGCCTTTAGGTTTGTTCTGTTTTTAAAATGTTTCTAATACTGAAATGGTGTAAACTTCCAGGACGTCGACTTACGATTCCAGCCTTGGCTCCAGTCTGCTTTCACTTTATTCTAAGAGCGCACCAGATGTTGTAAAGTGCACGGCTCAAAAGTTTTTGGAATTATTTCCAACTACAATTATGACGTCCGCTAGTCGCGACTTGAAGGTCTGTTTCTATTATTTAGTACAGGAAGTATTCTTATCGAAAAATTTCAGGTCGCGTTCTGCAACATTTTGTCAATTATTCTCAAGCAATGCCCAATATATTCCAGCTGCGTCCTCTCTTTCACAACGATGATTTTTGTTCCCGACATTATGTCTCCGTTCAGCTCCTGTCTCCAAATTGCTATCAATGCGGATGCCGGAAATGCTGAAAATGGTTCCAAAAGACGCAAGCTACGTGAAGGTGAAGCTTTGACCTGTGGAGTGGAAAACTCGTTTGATCAGATGCATGAAGTTTTTGGTAGGCTGGAGATGGAAAATAAAGGCAGTACAATGCCTGTCGAAAGCTTATTAGCAGGCTATTGTGTTCTTGCTCGATCCTTTTGCCGAGCACCAGGAACAGATTACCTGCGACTAGTTTTACAACATTTTTGTGAATGGCTGATTTTATCCAAGTCGAAGGCAAGTATTTCTATCTCCCGGTCCTTTTTCTTCTATCACTAATGCGTTTCTTACAGGAGCTGATAACGAAACTTACAAAGTTTCAGCTGTCTATCATTCTTGAAGCAGTTGAGGGTCTGATTTTTCATCCTGGTAATGAGGTTCTCTATTCAGCTGCATTTCCTGCTGACTCTTATCCACAGACTCAGAAATTCCGGAATTGGTGTTTTGCCGAGTTAAAGAAGTAGTTGGGCGTGTTCTGGAGATGCCTTGGTTTAGATTTACGGCTTCTCAAGGAGATAGTATTTGGAAGGCAAAACTACACGTGATGACGATTCTTTCCAAGATGAAAGAGCCTGAAAGGTTCAATGCTGATCATCTACTTCGTCTTGGATTGAGAGACGAGGACATGCGTGTCCGATCGGCAGCAGTGACGTGCATTCCGTTGCTGGTCGCCCATTCGTCTATGAGCTGGTTAAAGCTCTCTGAACTTCTAAGGTAAACATTTCGTTTGAGATGCTTCTTTACTTATGATTTTAT